CAGCATGTCTGTTGACAGTGATATAGATATGCCGATGGTTGTCGATCATATGGATACATCTATGGATATTGAAAATCCCGAGCAGAATGCAGGCTCGGTGGGAGCCCCTTCAGGCAATGAATCGAGCGATACTCCGATGGAAGTTGATCATGAGGAAGACATAGCCTCGTTAGAGCCGATGGATATCAACTCGGAAGAGGCCCTGGGATCTCCAACGATACTAATGAAGCTGAGCAGTACGTGTTGGGTGTATCATATGACTCAAAAAATTTGCCTTGCGTTATTTACGTTATGTGCTCGTAGAAGTAAAGAGAACAATCGGAAGTATGCAAGGTGGGTACAAAGCTATAAATGCATATAGCATTTTACAGTGTGATATAAGCTTCTGTATAGCCGTTTGCGTTCGCCTTTTGTGTTCATCCTGCCGATTAAAGCTTCTGCCCTGAGAGTCTTTTAATGCAAATACACTGACTTACTTCATACTGTCTTTATGACCCAATTATTCGTGTTTGCGTTGAAGGCTGCCTTATACTATGCACATTTCATGAAACTATTACCTACCATTCCGCTCGCCGAGCGCCGCAAGATCGCTGTAATCATGTCGCGGTACGTCGTGGAGGCGCCGCGGTGCCCGGCTGCGCCTCAGTTCTCGTAACCGAGCGCGTCTCGCGGACGATCCCCGCGGGATAAACACGATGGCTGATAGGCGATGGAGCGGCTATTGTGAGGTGTGATCGGGCCATCATCTCGAGGAAATTCCGGCTATCATTATGGTACCTTTGGTGGAGCTCGACGAGTGTTTTGCGGCCAACAAAAGTGCAATCAGTATGCCTGCAGGTGCTATAGCATGCATGTTGTGCTTCACTCACGCCAGCCATTTTAGAACGTGCATCGATGACATTTTCGTAATCTGCACCCGATGGGATGCGCTCACTACTAGATTTCTCCTCAAAAATAGTTTTTTACAAAAGAGATGCCGGGTATTTTAGATGCTTTTTGCTTTACAAAATTTATTACACATTACGTGAGTAGTTAAGTGCATTTACGAGGAACATCATGCGCATACATAATACAGTAGTAGTAGCCTTATTCCTGCTAGAAACACCAGAATAATGGAGAGATAGCTGCGTTCATATTTCGGCACCATGCCTCTATCGGAACGAATTATTTTGATGAAGGCATGCTGTCAATAAATGATCCGTTTTGAAAGACGTTTCCCGCCGACCATTCTCCTGGTTTTTCTACGAGGAATAAGATTGTTACTACTGCCTTATCGATTAATTAGAAATGCATGTAGTTCGGCAAAGAATCTCACTAACCTTGGACTCAGCTCTAAAAACCAGGCTGAGCTCAAAACGAAATGGCCCTTTCACTCAAGAACATGCTTTAATAGATAAACTTTGACGCTCATTGTGCCTCTCTTGATCATACAGACAGAAACTTAAGAGGAAGCTGCAGGCTTAAAATAACTCACCGGTGCGGCAACAGTATTACCGCGCGCGTTCTTATTCATTTCGGTGAATCACTTTGTAGGTGTGTCTGTCACGTCTCTTGATGAACAACTAGTCCACATGAAACTTAAGCTGCGTGCAGCATCTGAAGTTCATTCAATGGGCATTTTCGCGTGCCGTCGATGCGCAGTATAAATCTAGTAATGTGTGTGTACATGGTAGTCCCAACAACGCCTGCATTTCATGCGGCACAGATTTATCAAGCTTATCCTCAGCGCTGTTTTAACACCGCATTGTATGCACTAAATTAAAGTTGCCAGCTTTAGACCTCGATCTCATACGGTTATTCGTCAAGATGCGTTGTTATGCCATGACATGAAGTTGTGCTAAAATCAGGCCGAACGTTCGCGTACCACTCACACGTCCCACCAAGGTAGTACCTTAAATAAAGCAGCACTGCTTTACACGAGGGCGCTGTGGCCTACATCTAACGACAAATCTAAAATTTGTGTAGCTTGTGAAAGCTGACCAAATGGCTTAACGCACAAACCAGATATCTGGACCCGTTAATGAAGCCAGATGTTTACTCTCCCGTAAAGGCATGGCCTCTCCGCATATAACAGTGCACCTATCAAGACTAGAGCACCTCTCCCACCGTAATAAAAAGTCGTGTTTGGCGCTGATAACTGCAAGCTAAAAATGAAATCAGCCAAGCGGATAAACGAAGCAATCTACTTAACACACGTATGACCATAAGACAAGCAAAGGCTTGAGAATTAACAATAAAAGCTCCGGAGTGCGGGGCTGACCCAAATCCTTCACGGCTAACCTCGTGTCCGTTCATTGTAATCAAAAATTTGTCCTGCCGCCCATGGCCACCATAGAAGAACGCCTTCGGCACCATGGCGGTCTGCAGAGTGCGCCTTTACTTTCCGATCAGAAGAGACACGTATCTCCAGTGCCCATCCCCTTTTTGATTTGGCTCTGAATGTCTCCTACGCTGCCAGGATTGAGAGCCATTTGATAAAACAATGAGCGTTAAATAAACCACTCGTTTTTTCAACATATATTTATATTAAACCATCGTGAAAAAATGAGGGCAGGCTAGGATGTCAGGCCCTTGGCTAGGCCTCCCCAGTTAGTTGCAAAAATCGACACCCCTTGTAATGCAAGTGAAATGAGTAAAATTTTCAGATGATACAAAAGCATCTCAAGCTATCACAAGTATCCTTTAGTATCACTTAATGACCGATGGAGCAAAACGTGATTCTGGCGTAACAGATGATAATTTACCACCCTGTTTTTAAATAGGTGACCAAATTGGCCACATTAACCATCAAAATGCCCTATTCATCACCTTAATCCCTAGCTACATCAGCGAGCCAGGAGTACTCGTTTCTCATGACAAACGCTGATGCGTTATTGATGGTGTCAAATCACATCTGTGATAGAAAGCACACACACACACACACACACACACACACACACACACACACACACACACACACATGTATTATATATATATATATATATATATATATATATATATATATATATATATATATATATATATATTTCCCTCTCTCTCTCTCTCTCTCTCTCTCTCTCTCTCTCTCTCTCTCTCTCTCTCTCTCTCTCTCTCTTGCATATACATTAAAATATATATTAAACAATGGGCTTTCCACGTGCATGGACAGGTGTTCATTTTATCACCTCTTTGCGCATTTGTTCGACTGTTCGAATCAACTCCTTTCTTCATTTCAGTAAATCATAAATCATTTCGCCAGTTTGCTCCGTTGAATACGCTCTGTCTTCTGTGCAGGCCGCACCATAATGCAGATGACACCAGGAGCGCCACCACGGCTTTTGAGTGAGGGGGGGGGGGAGGGGTATGGATTTTCTAGATGGCCACCTCACAGGGGCCTCCTGCAGTGCCGTAAATAGTTATATCCTATAACAGAATCTTTTGTCCAAGGAGAGCCTTCTGATACAGAGAGGGGCCTCCCAATCCAGAATACGACACTTTCGATTTACGAAGGGGTCTCCAATTGCAGTCAAGGGGATTCCGTTAACTCAAAACAGGGCATTCTGATCCGGAACTGCGGCCATCTAATCCATGAAAGAAGCCTCTATTCCAGAAATGGGCTCCTGAATATAGTGTTTCTTAACTCAGAATGTTTTATTCCTAGTTTGTTAGGGAGTGCCTCCCAAGCCAGCAAAATGACCTCCTTAACATAACATTGGGCCTACTGATCAGGAGTGCATACATGCTCTAGATTACCTTATTCATAAAATTATCCTCATGATACAGAAAAGGGGCTTCTTGGTGTAGTAAAATGGGGGATCCGATTCCGGTTCATCCAGTCAGAAAGTTCTGAGTGATTCATTAATCTTAAGCTCACACATTAGACCACCATGATCTGAAATTTGTTTATCTATGGGCAGTTACTAATGCCTCAAAATTGACAAAAATGGATCTAAAAGATATGTTGAGCCTGCAAAACTTAATGATTGCACGAGATACAGGTCAAATCACGTCATGAGTGCACCTGCACAGAACGCTGCTTAAATTCACTCGCAGGCGGATTTACACGGAATGGCGCTTCTGTGTGGATCACGTCATGAATGCATCTACACAGAACAGCTCGTCTGCTGAAATCCACTCCTGGGTGTACATGCGCAGAATGCCGCGCCTGTGTACATCCATTCAGATCTAAACCACTGTAAGCAGAGCAGTTCTGAGCAGACGCACTCATGAGTGGGTTAACACGCGTCCTATTTCATGTTCGAACCAAATGTGTGAATTAAGTGAAGAAAGCATCGCCACTCTACCGAGATTACAATGTGCGTTTTAGTAGAGTATGCAACGTTCTATGAGATGATCGCATGGGCTTTCCTTTGTTGACATACCGTTCATGCTCGGACTTGAGTAAATCCACTCATGAGTGCATCTACTCAAAATATCTATAAACTTGAAATCTATGCGCGGGCACATCTGCGGCGTACGGTGCGCAGTCCGGCATATATTTCCCGGTTCACACACGGTCCGTACTGTTACGGAGGCGCGAAGGGATGCCAACGCCTTTCCGCATTCGCAGCTTCTAGCCCCCTCCCACCCCTGGGACGGGCGTCTTTCCTCAGGTCATTGTGCGTCCTTGTCCTTGAGTCCTTGTCCTTGCACAGTCCTTGTGAGCCAGGCTTATTTCCGGGCTCATTCGAACCAGCCGAGTAAGCCAGTCTGACATGGGGACGGCTCCGCCACGGCATCGCAGCATCATTCTACAATCTCCATCCACAAACTGCCCGCTGAGCTGGGCTTGCTCTGTTAGTGCGGTCGACTCGGATGTTTCGCGATGATGCCGAGAAGGGCTCTGGACACATAATATTTCTACGATATTTAAGAGAAGCCGCCCTCACTGGGAGGGAGTGTCCCTGAAAAACATTTCGGCATTATGCATTGAGAGTTCTCGCTCATCAATACGTGTGCGCGTACACATTGCTGGGTCAACAAAGGCCTACATAGCACCAAGAAGAGACCACGGCGCATCCACGTTCACAATATATTCCATTTCTCTCTCAACCGGCCACATGGCGGACACACCGCCGCTTCCAACACTTCCCTATGAGCACCTGACTTTCGCGGACCCACTAGATCCATTAACACACAAGAGAGCTAGCGGGCGGGCGGCGTCAGTGGTGGCCAGAACCGTGGTGGTCATCGGAGCCGAGCAGGCCGATCTTGTCGGCCACGATCGTCACCACCATCGCCGCCGCCGCGTACTTGAAGCCGCGGAAGAAGAAGCGTGTCATGCGCTCGTTCGGCGTCAGGAACATCTTCTGGTCGTACTTCCACACCTCGTTCCTGCGGGATGCGCCCATTCCAGCGGGTGAACGTGCGGAAGGTGGCGTCATCCCAGTCCCCTACAGCAACCGCACTAGTGTTCACAACGGCGGTCGAATAAAAACAGGGACTCTGACGGCAACACTAGTGCAAACGGTCGCGGTAGGTGCGTCTCGTTTTGTCGAGACTATCACGTACGAAGTGTTTCTCGCGTCTGAAGGGGCAGCAGTGCGACGCAGGACGAGTGATAAACAAACGTCTGCAAAGTATGCAGTATCACGCATAATCGCATGGGGTAAAATACTGCTCAAGCTGTTCATACCCAGACCAGCATGTCAAAATAATTTCGATCACAGAGGCACGAGACCAAAAAAAAACTTATTTAGTGTCATTAAGAAACCCCTTTCGTCCGTCGCATTTAAGAAGATACCTTGGAAATGACATGAACTTGGCAACCAGTTTTTTGTCGTACATCAACAGTCAAGTAATGCAGAAAGATCGCCAGTCACAGTCACGCTGCCAATGGATGGCGCAGATGCATCCAGGGCAACGGCACGCACCGCAACCAGGGGTCCTTGAGGCCCTTTTGCGCCAGCGCGTTCCGTACGTTGACCAGCTCGGGGGCGTCCTCCACCTTGTACTTGCGCCAGTCGGGGATCTCATATGGCCTGCCGCCTCCACCCATCTGGCAGCAGGAAAAAAACACCGGCAGCTATCATCTACCCACCTAAGGCTCGACGCACGAGGTCACGGCTTCGAGGCCCATACCCTTGTTGATAAACCAACCGCCCATATTCAAGCCATGATCCCACACACTGCATCGCTTATGTCCATAAAGCAAACAATATAAACCTACAGCAGAGGATGTTGTTTTTTATTCACGGATCACACACAAGAAAATGTTCCAAAGACTTAAATCCTGCCAAATAGGGAGTTCACATCAAATAAAGCTGTGGCAAGTTTTCAGCCGACACGAGGTCACGGCTTCGAGGCCCATACCCTTGTTGATAAACCAACCGCCCATATTCAAGCCATGATCCCACACACTGCATCGCTTATGTCCATAAAGCAAACAATATAAACCTACAGCAGAGGATGTTGTTTTTTATTCACGGATCACACACAAGAAAATGTTCCAAAGACTTAAATCCTGCCAAATAGGGAGTTCACATCAAATAAAGCTGTGGCAAGTTTTCAGCCGACACAACACGCAGCAACATGCCATGATTTATGACACAAATCAGCAGCACACACATTAAGGGTCAGGAGGGTATCACAAACATACAACAAGCGTCACGTCCTAGATGTCCTCATATGCAGGATTATGAAAGGCATTCCATGATATCATACAACATGATCTAAATGTAAAGGAAAAATGATCAGGTCCACCACATTCTAAAAGGCTTAACATCCATACAATACATATGGACATGAGCAATGCATGGCTTTGGCAGGGGCACAACAAATAGACTGCATTAAAGGCCGGCAAATCATATACTAAGCTTGCTCCTGTACCTGCATGCCTTTCATTGTCTAACATCACAAAGGCCACTTCCTTCAAAGGATTTTACCAGTCACAATGCTCCAACTTTGCTTGGGAGACAACTGAAAAATGACTGCCATATTTTCATAGATCAGAATGGAGACATTCCAACTGATCTACTGGGAAATATGCAGGGCAATGTGAAAGGTGAAAAATGTGAAAAGTTGAGGCATACTCTTTACTTGATGAATATATTCCTATTATAGCTCTCTCTTTGAGTTGTGATAAATTGAGACTTTAAGGTCAATGGGAAATAAGCATATATTACAAAAGGTAGCATTGCAACAAAAAACATATAGCTCTTTTAATAAAAATATATCTAAGGCATTCAGACCCATCAGATGAGGAGTGAGGAAAGGAAAGGAGGAAAAGAGAGGTTGGCAGTGGCAGGTGAAAGGTAGCTCTTGCTCAATGTTCACCTTTTTTCCTTCCTTTCTACCAACCTGATATTTGCTCACACCAAAAAATGTGTGCACCCCTAAGAATTCTTCTGATTCTCACTCATCTACCAACCTAAAAGTCTTCAACAGTAAACAGATGTTTATATAGGGTTTGAAGGTCATCTATCTACTCACAAGTAAAATGCCCTGCATCAACCTAGTGATCTGAGAACTTGACTGCAGAACCTCATTTCAGAGCTAAATATAGAAAGGGTGCCTACTATCTTTTGGCAGGCACCCATTATTGCATAAGGCCCTGGAAGCAGTGTGTAAAAAGCAGCCCCAGCAAGACTCCTTGGAACATTAGTGTACTCTCATCTCTGATATGGAGAATGAAGGGGACATATCAGAATTGTAAGGGGCAAACTGGCATCTCGGAGGGATAGCCTGGCTTGAAAATGACATTTTGAAATGACATGTGTTTCAATTAGCCAAACTGGAGAGTACAAAATCTGATTTGGAAAAAAGTAGTGCAGAACCTTTCACTGATTTGACATACCTCCACACAGTTAAGTGCTGTACCATTTCACATAAATTTCTCTGTTTCATGGTGCAATATTACTGCCTGAGAATGGTGGCACCCATTCATAATTTTGGAGCACACAATCTGATTCAACAAAAGCAGCTTGACATTTAATGGGCATGGCATGAATACAAAACATTAATATTGTCAAACCAAGCACAACAACATGATAAGGACAAAGCATCACCACGCACAAGTATAAAAAATGAGGGAGGGTCGGATACAAAATCTCACAACAAATAGAAGCGCATACCACCCCAGGCTTTGGCCACGAACCTTGCCCGCACTATGAAAGCGAGGTCAGTTGCTGCTTCGACAATCCGTGACCACTGATAACTTTTTGACAGGAAGAATATTATCTGAATAAAGTATGTCGAATATGTATTACTATATCACCTCTGCGTTGTTGACGAACAACGAAATGCCCACGGCGATGGAAATGCCTCTACTCGCAAATCTTAACCCCTCTGGCTCCGGACCAAGCCCGTGAAAATGGAGTGGAACCATCCGTCGATTTTAACGCCCCATCCGCTCAACGTCAGAGTGACGTCACTAGAGTCTTACATCTGAAGGCGCTGTGTACGGTCTCGTGCGTTGTGTAATCCTTTGAACGGAATAATTGCTCGCCTATTGGCTTCATCCACCTGGCTATTGCATGAAAGTTTTGGAGTGAATAGCTATTGCTTTTTTTGCATTGATGCCGACGTTTTTGCCAAATGTTATATTATTCATGTCAGATGATGTCACGCTCACCGTTTTCGCTCCTTTGCCGTCGCCGCTTTCTGTGGCATCCACCCGCGGATGCTAACGGCCCTCCAGCCAGAGCCAGTCTGGAGGTCATACCGTCCCGGATCCCGGATCTGGACGACCCGGCTGAGCTTGACTGGACAGCTAGCGATGCACCAGCGGGCCACACCAAACACAGTGAGGAGGGTTACACGCTCTGTTGGCAGGGCGATGGCAGTGTCACGCAACCAAAGCACCTCACCGGCGGCCGCGCGCTGTGTGTGCAGGTCATGCAGCTCTGCACCATCCTCCGCACGCGCTGGCGGTTTACACTCAATACCGAAGAGGAGACCGAAGTGATGTACCGCCCTCAGCTCTGGTCTGGTCTCCATTGACCAGTAATTCGCCCACATCGGAGCCAGGGCCTGTACCACGCCTGGGTCCTGCACCAGGATAACCCGATCCAGGGCCTTTTCTACGGACGGTCCCACAGTCAAGCCGAACCCTAGCCGCGTGAGGCAGTAGTGCCGCCTGCGACCGAATGGACGTTTGGTACGGCCACAGCCGCCGGTCGAGTCACAGCTGTAGGTACGGCTTACATCCGTGGCATGTTCACTACGGCCACACGCCGGCCATGTCAGTGCCACTTGCGCGGGTGACTAGTGCAAACGTAAGCGTAAGCGCACCGCTGCCAAGCCGAGAGGACATCGTTCACCTACCGTCCGCCCGCTTCCAAACAACCGTCTGTTCCATCCTCCGAGTCTTCCGTCACCGCGGCTGCGTCCTGGTTCCGTCATGGGTAGACCCAGCATTATCCTGGATCTGTCACATGCTGATCCAGGGCAACGCTGGGAAGGGGGGTGTACGGGGACACTACACCGTCCAGGCACGAGCGTCACCCCGGAACTCGGCCGAGAAGCCATTGGCGTCCACCACCAATGCATCCACCTTGTCGGCTGTGATGGACCGATCCAAATCCTCACCGGCCGTGGGCTCGCCATGGGCCTATGTTGGTCTGAATTTGTGCGATGTCTACGTGTTTTTTGGCATTAATCAGCCATGACTGAAGTTCCACATATTGCAGCAAGTTATGTCACTTTGCCACGGCATCTCATCAGACGATGAAAATAAGTGGTCAAGCTGTAGGACCCAAAAAACATGACCTAGGACCTGCCGTTTATTTTCGGAACAACTCTCGAAATATGCCGACATCCACTGCTGCATGAATATTCGATGGAACAGATACAAGCACCTGACGATCCACATCAGCCGACTAAAACGATAGCAGCAATCGCCCAACAGTGACCACCAAAACGACACTAGCCGCCGAACATGCCTAATGTGAGTGCTGCTCGGCAGCCTGTAGCCCGCGCTACGGATACCAGCTGAGGGTTTCCGTGGCAGCCTTTAATAGTTGCGCCCATCAGCTCACACTCTTCACTCCCGGATCCGTACGCGTCCAACAACGTCTGAGCCCACGTTACATCAAACCTATGTCGATTACTGAGACTTGGTTTAGACAGTCTGTTTTTCTTCTTTTTTCGCTCAGCTTTTCCTCGCTCAGCGCCCTCCCTCAAACCCATTTTGCGAATTTACGCCCCAGTGGTGAAGGCCTGACAGGCGCTCGGGTGGGGGTCAAATTAACACCCCAAAGGTTTTTCCGGAATGGTTTCCAAATGGCGCGGTGTAGCTGCGCCAAATTTTCCCTCACCATAGACAATTAAATAGCGGATCGTCTGGCATAAAAAAGATTTACCTTTTAAGGTCGCTGATCTATGGAAGGTCAAAGTCAGACCATGGTTTCAGCGCAGGTAATTTCTATAGAATCGCTTAATCTTATCCAGCAACGGAGTTTTAGACGGCACCAAAAATATATGAGATACTTTCTTAGGCAACAAAACAATTGAATGAGCAAATTACATTGACCTATGGTCAGGTATGCAGGTCATACCAAAGTTAATACCAACCTGATTTATTACTCTAGGGCTTGCTGTATGAGGTAGTTTCTGGTGCTCATTTCCATTTTGTTGATGACAAAAACCGCATTATACACCTTTCATAGGCTTCCATAAGTTCAGAATAGGCCACTGACATACAATGAGCCAGGTCAACATTATGTTTTTAGAAACATACTGCATAGCGTAACCTTTGTCGCTTATCCAAATGCAGAACTCAAAGCAGTCTCGTACGATTTTGGTCACCGTGACATCCAAAAGGTCAGACAAGGTCACTGACCCTAGATGATCGTGTGACCTTTTGCTTGGAACAGCTATCTAGGTTCTAGGGATCCTTTGGAGACGAACCTGGAATTGGACCTTGTTTGACCTTATTTGACACAAAGGTCAACCTGGGAATGTCAAACCTTGGCCTAAGGGAGTTCACGTGCAGGTCAACACACCCTGTAAATTTCGCGTCTCTAGCTCTCTTAGTTCCAGAGATCTCGGGGGTCAAATTGACCCCCACCCCCAGCCACCCGAGCGAAGGGTATCCAACCGGCCACCTGGGCGCGTGTTAATGACCGTGACACGCGACGGATCTACCACCAGATTGCTCCAGCATCGGGTCTCGGACTCAGGGGCCATTTCTCAAGCAAGTATAAGGTCGGGGACCGCGCTTTTCATCAGTCGGCCCCCTGAGTCAATTAGGGGTTCCCTGTGCCTGTCTGAGGACCACAGTGCCTAACAAGGGTCCTGTATTGGCAAGGGGCTCCAAGTCGGCCAGGGGAACGTTTGCTGAACAGAGACAGGGACAGAACCGCGAATACTATAGGACCTCTTGTGTTAGTCGACGTCCTTTGATAATGCAAGTTGATATGAGTGTCTACAATGTGAATTCACAATGGGTCAGTTGGAAGGCCCAGTGGCAGTCCGGAGCCCCAGTACACAACTCCATCCCATTTCAGCCAAGGCATTGTTATGCTGAGCTGAAGTACCTGTGCCAATTATTGGTTCCCTGCAACGATAAATAATCTTGTTGCGCCAACGGGGGCGTCTGCGTCTATGCGGGACATATCCCGGGTCAGGGGCTCCGGCAGCAGGCAAACAAAACATGTGTGACTGATCCCTCTGCAGGGCTTCCGTATCAACCTCGGGACCTCACGCTTGTGTCGCCAACATGGCGGCCGGCAGGCATCCCGTGCTGTAACAGAATGACCTTTTACTTTAGGCCTTGACCTGGAAACATAATGCACCTTCTAATGTTCAATCCACTGGGCATTTCCCCGAAAAGGGTGAAGATGTCCTTAGTTTGCAAAAGGCAGGGTCAAAAGGAGGCTAAAAATAAGATACAATGTAAGCACAAACCAGAACGTCCATTTTTGTTCGGAATCAACATGCGAAACAAATGCTTCCGAAAGTCTTCCAAAAGCAGTTCATACCGGTCAGAGAATAGGCTAGGGAGCAGGTATATTCCACCGGCAAAGTTTTGAGTTATTTTTTGAACAGATTTATAACGAGAGCAGCACCAACATAGAGCTTCTACCCGTACTTGTCTAGTTCCACCACAAAATTTCTGCACCCGTTCGTGGCGCTGTGAATCCTAGTACGTCCCTATTTAACTCAAAAATTGCACAGGTGAAACATGCTCAAGGGTTCCCTTCTGAACGTACGAATTGACAACCTAAAGCTTTCAAAGGTGCTTCTTGCAGAAACAATATCGTTTTTGTCCGCCCGCTGGTCGCCACCTAATAGCCATGGGTCGAAGTCTCACGGCCTACAGAGACTGCGACGCCGGACATCATGTTTTGTCCATATGATACTAAATTGACACCAAATCTGAAATGCACGAAAACCGGGATGAGCAGGTTCAAATCCGTTTTTGTCGTCAGGTAGTATCAAGGTAGATGTAAATGTTGCTCTGAAGGCGATGCGAAAGTTGCGTTCGATGTGACTAATGGATGAGAGTCCTTGCTGCAAGGCTGCATTACTCAATGCCATCCATAAACGGCCTGCGGAAAGAACCAGGAGATGTACCGTCAAAATACGGCCGAGGCTATTTGTGTCTGAGGTGAGCGTATCTGGTGACCAGGCGCCGGTCGAAGAGTTATCAGTCATGTGTCGCCGGTCAGGGACTGTCCCTGTGGTGGCGTTGCATCCGCCTGAGCATGGGTGTTTTGCAGCGGCAGCGGAAGTCATGCAACAACGGCGGCGGTTGTACGTCTCATTGTGTTCCATGCACTATGACTTGTTCTTTCAATCTCGGAAGCGTCAGATGAACTTTATTGTTCACGTCGGGAGAACACGACGCTCAATTTTTTCCGGGCGCGCAATTTCCAGTTACCTGTGGTCTGAGCAGATCAACTCATTAGGTTCAATTATTATCAAACATATCCAACCCCGAAAGCGACATCGACTCCCATGCATTTAAACTGTCCGCGAAACACCATTGCCCAGCGTTGCAGCCAGCAATACCCGATCCATCTGTGACCGCTTGAAGACAGGCTTGTCCCTGAAAAGTACCGGAAGTGACATAATATCAGATGTCAGTTGATGATTTGCAACATAACTCTTAAGCACGTATAATTACGTGTGTCGACATTGTTTTCTTTGTCAGCTTTCTTGTTTCGTGGCGACCCAGTATGAGCAAGTGATTGAACTATTTCCTTTATTGGTGATGGCGTCATGAATGCAGTGATCTCTCCTGTCGATGTTTGGTAGAGTTCCTAACCTGTACGGGCTCAGTAAGCTACTCGACCATACTCTCGTCGAGCTAGGCTAATTTAACCCCACTAGTGTATTACGAAGGACCAGACGAAAATAAAAGCGGTACTCGGTTTTGGGGTTAGCTCACAAGGGCAATCACACACGGTGTCGACATTCTCTAACAAAGGTTGTTGACTTGTTATTTCAACCCTCGTGCTGAATGATTCACGACGGACGAGAGTTCTAGCTCGAGGTTTTCTGAGCTTCCATTGGTGTTCTCTCATCACCTCCGAGTTGTGCTTGTCAGGGACTCTTCCGACAGCGACATATCTCCTTGAAACAACTGGTACACTGTTACCATGTCTCCCCTAAAACAACAATAGTACAGCTAGGGCAACTGTAGGGGTCTGAGCCTCTCTGGGTATGGCAACACATTTTTGCCAGTGGTGGTGTTCTTTTATCCGCAGGAATGCGTAAGAGATGCCCAAAGGTGTGAACATCTAACGGATGGCCACACATTACACACTTTATTTTTGTTGTATAGATGGCGTGGTGCTCTGCCCAGCCCTTTCATAAGATATAGAGATGCTATGTTCACAATAAGGCTTCAATAGTGTTTGTAAACGAAGAAGTGGATTTTGAAAAAAAATTTCAACGAATTTTAAGTGGATAAATTTTTACATTTGGTACCATTTTTTGTAAGCTGATAATAAGAACGGCTCAATGTTTAGGCACATTCGGAACAATTTCCATCTCTTGTCTGGGAATATCGACCAATCAGGAATGCGACCTTGCGTCTGGTGGTAATTGGGCAGAAGCGACGCATTCGTTGCTGTAGCTGCTGCGGCATTTATGAGGCTGGTGCAGCGAGGGGGGGTCGTGGAAGGTCCGTGATGGGAGCGATGGTTGACCAGTGAAGATCCCAGCCCTCTCCGATCTCACTTCCAGCCCTTGAGTCTCATTTCGTACTTCCACATCATGGCTGTCACGGCTGAAAAGGAAGCGACCTCGGCCAGGGAGAAGCTGAATGAGGATTCGGAGGATGAGGACGAGTTCCTTGAGTACAGTCCGTGTGGAACCATTACGAAGCTTCGGCAACAAGTAAGTTTTGACGTGCTCTGTATGCATTCACGTTTTGTGTGGATTAGACCTCCAGCAATTTGTTTTGTGGCTGGTTGCATGAAAGTTCCTATCTGTGGTTAGATGTCCTATCCTACCTATCTGTGCACCAGCTGTTGCTGCTCATTACCTGGGATATCTACCAAGTTAGGTGTCTTTTTTCCATGATGCAGTCCTGCATGCTTCAAAACTGAAATGTCAGTATTTTAATTTCTGGAGGGGCCCTGCTTTCTTCCTGAGCAATAACCATGAACTTAAGATATCATTGCAGAGGCACTGTCATTGGGGCAGCGTGAAATAATGCCATTGAGTGCTAGCCTGGATGGAGCACGCTATTTAATCATAGTCTGAATGTGGGCAGGAATATTGTTTCACTATGGGGGTGAGGGAGAAAGGCAGACTAAACTGTCAATAATGACAAACCCACCCCTAAAATATGCTAACAAATAGGTAATTTAATTGCCCTGTCCCTGTTTCTTTTCAAGGATGGTGGGTAGGCCAAAGCCACACAACTGAATAGGGACCCACACTCCTGAATGCAAGGGTACCTTACTTTAAACATTCCACCTTGTTGCTGCATTATCATTATCAGGTTTGTTTTTCTTTCATACTATGGTTAGTGGTAACTTTATGTTAGCAGGAATAAGATGCCCTGGACTTTGTAGCATTCCATCTGGCACATAGTCAGCCTCATCAGCTCACCATCAAAGGCCATGGCTTACACTTTCACAGTACAGGACACATGTCTCTGCATTTCTTTTGGGTTGAAAATGGAAGAAACACAGTCCACTGATCCTACAATAACCTGATCTGACCCAACCTGACCATACCTGCACCCAGAGTGTTGTGTGCATTACTTGCTGCTACTTTCATCTTATGATATGCTCTGACACTGCATCCATATGAAGATGATGCACTTGATTATCAATTTTGTATTATTATGTATCACTATACTTGTATGATAAGTAATTTTGTATTATAGTTTCTGGTAAGTACTCTGTGCTTCCATGCATTTATTTATGCATGAATTAATTATGCATGGAATTGTCAGTGCAGGAATGCAAGCCACATCAGGAGGACCAAAGTTTAAACTGAGTTTGGGGACTGACTCATAAACCCCCAACCCCACGCCCATCTGCACCTCCATTCACACTCGCACCCCCACTCCCACGCCCACTTCCACTCCCACTTTGACTCTCGCTCCCATTCCTGCTCCCCTGGACCACACACATATGGTTTGATGACTGCCACACCATGTACATTCTGTTGGTATGTGCCATGCATAACCAAGCCATTTGTGGATTTGGAACCACTGCAAGTTTGATGCATTTCAATGAAGGCCTTGGTGGCCTTAGTGGCCTTATTGGCCTTGGAGGCCTTAGTTCTCAACACAGTGGATGGGCGATTGTAAATTGTAGAAAAGGACTGCTGCTGTCAAAGGCAAGAAACATACAGGCACTTACACTTCTTTGTAGAGCACCCAGTAGCCTTTAGCAGTGGAATGGTTTCTTAAAATACATCACTGGTTAAAGTCTTTTGAATGCCTGTTTTTTACACAAGGTCAGTCTGTCCCCCATTTTTAGCATTCCTAGTCAAGTTTTGTGGTGACCTTTCAAGATGTTCATTGTATATAATGCTGGAACAAACATGTGAGTAAGTAGACATAACTGCTACAAAGCTAGCTTACTGAACCTCAGCAACGCGCCAACATTTCCCAAGTCTGCCCGGACCGTGCCGGGCGTGCCGACCGCAGCTGCGGCGGCCTCCCACCGCCCCACGACCTGCGACAGAGCGCGTGCGGTGACGTCACGGCGGCGGGCAAGGCTGGACGTCTGCGGCCGGCCGTCCCGCTTGCCTCAGCGCAGAGCGCCGCGGCCGGCGGCGGCCTGTGCCGTTTCTCCGGACACGGCCTGGCCAGGCGGCGGCGGCATGTCGGCGCCGCTGGCTGGCGGCGCGACGCCCGCGACCGCCGCGTTTCCGGGCGCTGGTGGAGCGCGGCGGCCTCTGACATGTGCCGCACGGGCGCGGTATGAGGTCACCACGGCAGCTGTGTGAGGTCACCACGGCAGCCGCGTGAGGTCACCACGGCAGCCGATCGTCTGCGTCGAGGCGTCGGTACACCCAAATCGACGCCAACGTCGTCAGGCCGGCACGCTGGCGGGGAAGGGGTTCGAGGGGACGCATGGCGCGAATGGTGGTGCTGTGGTCGGTGGAGGCGGTGGACGACTGCTGTAACGACGGACAGGCTTCTGCTTGCTGCGAGGTCTCTGGCTGACCCTGGGACGGGGACGTGTCCGGCTGCCTCGGCCAGGGTAGGTCACACGGCTCGACCCCCCCCCCCCCCCCCAACAGCGCTCCGCCGTGACCCGACGGCAGCCCCGCCGTGGGAGCGGGCGGAGGTCTGTAGCAGGGCTCGCCGGACGGGCCGGTCCCGCTGCCGAACAGGCATCGCCTCCGGCTGGAGCGCTCTGTGCTCAAGGACCTCGTGAATGCGTGGCTGGTGACGTCACTGGTCGGGGGTGGTAAATGTCTGGGCGTTTCCGTGTTATCTGACTGGATCAGTGACACGGAATTGTTTATGACGCGAACCATATTCGTCTCCACGTCATCCGATAACTTTGAGTGGGACACTAGAGGATAAGGGAATTCGTATGTAGCGCTTTAAAGCAATTAAATGCAAGTCCGATGTGTATGACAAGAGATTAATTAGCTTCGCGGCAATTACCGGAGAGTGCGCTCAAGTTCTTGGAGTGCCTCTGGCGGGTCTAATGGCTCTATTCTCGTTTGAGTGCGAGTTCCTGTATTCTGTCTTTCCTGGAGTGAAGTGAATGAATTCTTTGGAGTATTTCCCCCCCGGTATCAGTTTGTTTTTGTTGTTTTGCTCAGCTCGATATAAGGTCTTGCTATCAGACTCCTGGGCTGTTGTACATGATCATCCCACCCCGCTTTGCCGGCTGCTAGGCAAGTATGGTTTTGCTTGCTTGCTAACCCCCAGCCGAGGTGCTGATATGCTGGGCTGGGCGCTGTCCAGCTCGATGCTGATGGCCGATCGGGAGCAAAGGATGAGGTAACAAACAGTGAACCCCCACACAGCACTGGAACGACAGGGTAAAGACGTCGACATTATTGACATCTCAAGTGGCTGAATGTAGCCACAGTGCCCGGACATCAGAGCCAGACTCGCGGTCGAGTTACCCAGCCTTGCGGTCGTGTGGGCCAAGGCCGGGCTCCCAGACAGCCTCGTCACCGGCCGTGAAACAGTGGTCTCTACATACCTGGAACTCGGCTGTTCCAGGTGTCCTCTATTGGTGCCTCGCTCCGGCGACAGCAGGCATGTTCAGTTGGTCTCGCCCCCCGGGTCACGGTGGAATAGCGCGCTGGCTTATTTTTGAAAACAGGACACTGATACGGCGACGAGGCGGCGTTGGGGGGTACAAGGTGCTGGGCTTCGTCAGGCTCTATTCGAGAGGCTGCTAATGTTCCACACTTCAAACAGGTTTATTTAAAGCCTCCCGGAACCAGGAAAACTCCGCAGCGGAGTAGACTCCGCGCACCAAGACTGCGTAAACTTGCGCGCTGTTTCTTCCCGGCGGCCCCGACGTCACAGAGTCCCTCCAGCCGGACTTCCGCCGCTCGCGCCGCCGCCGCAGTGTCGGGTAACGGCAGCTGAGGTTCGCTCGGCGCGGCTGCGGTGTGTTGGCAGCCGTCTAGGCCGCTGCGCTGACGAGCCGGCAGGCCGCTGCGCTGACGAGCCGGCGAGTCGGCCTGGTCGTCTCGCGCCCCGGCGAGTGGCCAAATCGCCGCCGACTGGCGTCCGGACCTGATGACCCCGGCCGTATCACCTCCGGGGGGTACTGGCGGGGTATCGCATCGCCCCAGAGATACGCGTCCGCCATCCGCGGGTAACCACCGGGGCTCGTCACGCCGCGTGCTGGTGTGACGGCCGCCTCGGCTGGCGTCGGTGATGCTCCGCTGATGACGATCGGTGTCTGCTGTGGTGCTGTCGCCGGCGGGAGCTGCCGCCTGACTGGGGTGATGTCCCGCCTGGCGTCCCGTCCCGTCTGACGTCCCGTCCCGGCCGACATCCCGTCCCGGCCGACGTCCCGTCCCGGCCGACGTCCCGTCCCGGCCGGCGTCCCGTCCCGGCCGACGTCCCGTCCCGGCCGACGTCCCGTCCCGGCCGACGTCCCGTCCCGGCCGACGTCCCGTCCCGACCGACGTCCCGTCCCGACCGACGTCCCGTCCCGACCGACGTCCCGTCCCGACCGACGTCCCGTCCCGACCGACGTCCCGTCCCGACCGACGTCCCGTCCCGGCCGACGTCCCGTCCCGACGGACGTCCCGTCCCGGCCGGCGTCCCGTCCCGGCGGCGCCCCCGTGCTGCTGGGTGTCTTGGTGGTGTGCGAGGCCCGGTCTCGACCGCCGCCGAGCACGGTAGCACGCCCGGCCAGCGCCGCCGCGACGTCCGGGCGGAGTTGCCGTCTGGCGCCGCATCGGCTGGCGGTCCAACTCGGCGCCGGCCTTGGCCCGTCGATGGCGCCATGAGACCGGTGGACCGACGCCAGACGGCCGTGACGTCACCAATCAGGCAGCAGCGCCGCCCCCGGCCGAACCGTCGCACGCCCACCACCATCCGCCTCGTCTCCGTCAGACGTGCTCACTGTCACAGCTGCGGGCCGTGACGGAAAGGGTCGTGGGTGTACAGAAGTGGCGGGTGAAGCAATGCATCCCTCGAAGGTGGATATGCTCCCTCCGCGTCCAGGGTGTGTCTCGCACCAGCAGTATATGTCACGTCATGTATGTACTACGAATCGTTTCATGGGTAGGCGTAATGTTTGATTTGAGTTAATTGGTTACGTGTTTGATTTGTGTATTGGTTACAAGTTACACGATAAAAAAACATGATAAATATAGTGTGATACGCGATCAATATGTACACATCGCTAGGATCAGTCCTGGAAACACTGAAAAGCGGAAAGCTA